TCAGCTTCTTCATTTGCATTATATACCAGTATTTACTAAGCCAACATTTTAACTGAAGGGTACATGTTTCTTCAACAGTCCCTTCCAGTAATTCCTACAGGTGTGAGAACATCACCTACCACCAGAATATCAAACAAGAAAGGTTGGCAGGGTTGGTTCAAGGATTGACAGGCCCCTTGGGCAAAATGTTGCTTGGGAAGACCCCTGTACATAGTGGACCCCAAAAAACTTTTCTAGCTCTAGTAGCCATGCTTTGTTTAATCACCCTCTTAATGCAGGTCAGACTAGATGGCCTGGGAGGATCCTTCTGACATGCTCTGTTTCTATATTAATGCACCACAATTAATCAGAAACTAGGTGGGAAATTAAAGGACTGAGAATATCCAAACACCTGGCACTGGTCAGAATGACAGATTAGAAAGAAAGAGAAGTTGGGGACAGACAGCAGGAAACTCCAGATACTGCTCCAGGATTTGAGGTGCTACTACTGGTGGTGGGAATAGCCACCACTACCATGTGCTGTGCACAAATTTCTAGAGGCAACTATCTGACTTTTGTCTGAAGCAGTATAGTGCTCTGCTCTAGAAGGTATTTCTTATATTTTTGTGATCTTATTACCAGCTCAGAGAGTCTTTGAGATGACAAATGTTTAAGAGTAAAAATTTCCATTTAAATGTTCTAATAATCTATATAACCTTTACTATTCCCATTTTATATAATTTTATGAGCTCCACTGGGTTTTATTCAGTATTTGCCTAACTTAATTCCCATTCCTTCATTTCTTACATTTCTATACTGCCCAACAGCTGAAGAACTCTGGGCATCTTACAAAGATGAAAACTCCAAAAATACATCATAAGAATCATTTATATATAAACAGACAGCACACATTAAAACACACATGTATCTAAAACCAGTTTAAACAATCAACAAGAACAAAAGGATCAGATTAAAACTTCCTCAGATTCTGCCTGGGGGAAGTGGGAAAGTTATGCTGAAAAGGTATAATGTTGGCATTAGGTGGGCCTTGTTGGGGAGACTGTTCCATAACTGGTGGGCCCCCACTGAAAACCTCTTCTCCCTTGTTGCCACCTTCTAAGTCTCTCTGGTGGAGACACATGGAGGAGCTCAGCTGGTGAATGCAGTGTATGATCAGGCTCATGCCAGGAAGGCGCCCCATCAGGTCTTGCAGTCCCAAGCCATGTAAGGCTTGATAGGTCAAAGCCTGCACTTTGAATCATGCTTGGAACACATTCGTTAGCCAATGAAAGTGAGCCACAATTGTTATCTGCTCATATTTTCTTGTCCCTGTCCTCAATCTGGCTATTGCATTTTAGATGAGCTGCAGCTTCTGAAATGTCTTCAAAAGCAGCTCATGGAAAGCACATCGTAAGTAATCTAACTTAGAGGGGACAGGACCATAGAAAACTGAAACCAAGCTATCCAGATCTAGATAAGGGCATCGCTGACCCATCAACCAAAGCTGATAGAAGCCAATCTATGCCATTGAGGCCACCTGAGCTTCAAGTGACACATCAACCTATGAACCTGCTCGTTCACAATCCAGTGCAATCCCATGCAGGAAATGTATATCATACAGGGAGATCAAGGCTGCTTTTGTGTCAAACCCTGATTGAAATGGATCCAGATAATTCACTTTATGAGGCCCAAACTGGATAGCAATACCCTATCAGTGTATTGCTACACGTGTTATCACACCAGACAAGCCAGGGTTACCGCTGGTGTTTCTACTCAGAAGGTTGAAAGAAAGAGTGCACATTGTTTAAAAGTAGAATATAACTAGTTCTGTTCTCCAGGGCAAAAATAATCAAGGACAGTATGTCTTTTTGAAAAGCAAAAAAATGCTCTATCCACCCTTACTACAACCATTTTCCCTCTCAGCTTCTTGGGGACAAAAGAAAGAGACGACTCCTCAGTAGTTCAAGCCCTACTGAACTGGCAGTGCTGGCTGCGGGTTTGTGTTCTTTTTAAAAATAAAAAAAATCATCAAAAGGTCAGCAAACGTTATGGTGACCCTCCCTGAGCGCTTCGGTTACTGGGCATATGAAACGTGATAAATAATTGCATAACACCCTGTTCTGACCCTGTTTCCAGTAATCATGGCAAGAATCATCATAAAACCCTTTTCACCACAGAAATTCCCTTCGTGATGGCAGTTCTCGCAGAGGCAATCACAGTATTGTTCAGGCTACCAAGGAGCCTCTGGTTGTTTCTTCAAGTACACAAACTATGCACCAGGTACGTGGTCCACAAATACAGTTCCCACTACGTGTCTCATCCCATGCTCCTGTTTGGAAGCTTGTGATCCACTGGGAAGAAATCCCCAGGTCTGTATGAAGGAGAATGGCTTGCAAGGAGAGCTACCTGACCTTTGCTCCTGGTAAGGAGCATTGCCTGACTGGGTGCTTTTTCGCTAACGGCCGACTCAGGGAGACATCCCTGAAACACCTTTGCCCACAGAGGTCTACCCCTGCTGCCAGGGGTTGTGATCCCAGACTGATCCGCAGGCGCTTTTTTCAAGGCTGAGCCTCCCAGGTGATGAGGATGAGTCGTGCCAGTCTGCAAGGCTTCCCTGCTCTGGTTAACCACACCTGGGCTGCACACTACTTCCTCTTCCTTGAATCTTTGTCTCAGAGGAACTCCAACCAAGGCCAGGGCAAGGTCCAACATAGTCACATACACACACACACACACAAACACAGTTTGTTCATTCATTGTTACAGCAAAAACAAATGGGGATTTGAATGACAACTAACTGCAAATTCATCCATTCAGTCATTCATTCACTTTCAAGTAATTTGCACTGAAGGCACTGTATTCTACTGGATATCTTGCATTGAACTTGTGTATAGTTGACAGAAAGTTCAAAGGGAAAAGTGAAGAGACACAGTGATAAAATTGACAGGGTGGAAAGGTCTTTGTAAGAGAGCCTGTACAGTCACCTAGGAAGGCCTCGGCAGTTACAGGCAGCTTATAAATACATGCATGCATAAATAAACAATTGCAGATTATAGAAATGTTACAGGGAGAGAGAGAAGGAAGGAAGGAAGGAAAATTAGTTCAACTAACAAATAGAAAGCTCTGTTTGGGCTCTGCCTGTTCTCCTCCTTTAAATTGCCTATAAAATGAACAATATGTTTACTTATCTGAATTTTGACAGGAGTAACACTGGGAGGGTTAGGGATAGTAAAATGCCTGCAGATGTCCTGATATATGGCTCAAAAAGCATGAAGTTAGAGGCTACAAAGGACTGGCTGAGTCTTCTGCTGCAGTCTAAGGTGAAGCAATTGAATTCAAATAAATGGAAAATGGAATATTTAAAAAGAGAGAGAACTGTCTTTTTCCTTGCATACTCATAAAACAAAACATACTTTTAAAGTATATGTTAAATACTTTACTGCTGATCTTCGTGCTCAAATAAACTGCTGCTATTTTCAAAGTAGTACTTGGTCATGTTGAGGTTGAGAGAGAGAGAGAGAGAGAGAGAGAGAGAGAGAGAGAGAGAGAGAGAGAGAGAGAGAGAATGAATAAGCTAATCCCACTACCATAGCGCAAAGAGTACCAAGTGTCAACACAAAGCTATGTTCAGTTATCCACACCAATGTCCCAGTCCACACCAATGTTCCAATACTTGCTAATTCCACATAGGAGTACTTTGTTTCCCAAATACTACACTCCCCTGTGCTACATTTTAAAAGGTTTTTCAAAACTCAGGAATTGCAGAAGCAGTGCAGAGGAGCTGCTATTCAAAACAACTCAAAAGGTCCATGGGCATACAGATCCAAAATCATGCAGACAACCCACTGGATCAGCAGCAAAGCCCACATTTTTACACATTGTTCCACAATATAAAACTTACTTTTGGAATTGCAAGACCACTTTTTGTATAATGCTATGTTCTACAAATTGACAATTTCTGCGTAGGCAGTTTTCAACTCACTCTTCAAGAAGAATCCTCCTGCTTTCCAAAAAGCCCCCTCCAAAGGTTGGGGGTCTTCGTAATACAGTGAGAGTAAGTGCATTAGTTGTGTGAAAATATACGCCTCCTCTAAAACTGTAAGAAGTACTGTGATTGGCTGGACAAAATTTAGAGTTTGACCATGAAAGACCAAGTGAGTTCCAGGTTATTCTGAGAAAGTGGTGCAGCCAATGTTACTGACTAATTCCTGGATGAGTAGAGATATAGTAATTAGTCCATAATTTAAAAATGAAGGAACAAACATTACCGTTTCAATTTTTCCCCTTCCACAATTCAGCAAGAGTTATTGCTCTGCAACATGACTATCTATCTATCTATCTATCTATCTATCTATCTATTACAAGCATTTATATTCCATCCTTCCGCCAAGCGCTCAGGACAGCTTAGAACGACGACTATTCCTTTCTATTGAAATTTTTAAAAAAACTTGGAGCAATACAGCTCAAAATGATTAGGGAACATATGGAATGATCATGAAGAAAGGACAAAATATAATTTGACAATAATGTGCCATTAGACGTCATAACTTAAGTTTTGGAAATGCATCTTAAAATGCAAAGGCTAGGAAAAAACCTTTTTAAATAAATTGGATAAAGTCATGATTCTTCTAAAACAATACAAATCAAACAATTAAAACACGTTAAAAATCAAGCATAAAATTATGTGCTCTCATCCATTTTTCCCTTATATCATACTATAATTTATAGGAATGTTTCGTTGTTGTGTGATACCATGGGGCTCAGCTGGCCATAAAAAACTGAAAGTAACCAAAAACTGTGCGAGCATAGAATAAAAGCAGCTAGTGTTTTCCTGGTTTACAAGAATCCAATTTCTGCTCAGCTGTGCTGAGGGAATATGCATCGAAAAGAAATGAGAGAGCCAACTACTGAAAACCATTGCATAGACTTACCAATGGAGACGAGGGTCTTTATTTCTTATCTACTGAGTTAGCAGCAGGCAGAGCAGCTGAGAGATTGGGTCCTTGACCTAACTTGCTTACCTGATGTGTGTTGCAGGAAGAGACTCATACTGGCGCGAGAGAAACAGCTCTCTGTGTTTCAGCTGATGTTTCTGTTTGTCTGTCAAATCTACCTCCTTGGGTATTTCAGATTCTTCTTCAACTTCTTCTGTACAAAGGAAAAAAGAGAGAAGAGTGTTTTCTTCAGACCCACATTTCTGGAGGGGTTTTTCCCTTACTTACATCCTTGTTTAATGAAGCTGCTTTCAATTTCTGCAAAACAAACTGTCAGTAACCAAATTTCATTGCCACAGAAAATAACCCTTTCTTGCAGAGGGGGATTAATTTGCAATATCTTGTTTATCCAACATGTCCACTAGAAAACCAACCCTGAAATATCAATGCCTTTCTAAAATAAGATTTTTAGTATCTTTATTTAGCTATATGGCTGTATCCGTGTTTGTCCATGAATGGAATAGTCGCTGCTGGCAGAGCACCTTCCCTTTCACCCTTATATGGCCCAAAATCTGATCTAGAACGTTGAGAGGTAGAGCAGGTTGGAGCAGCACAACAGGTAAGGAGGAAAGAAGGCGGCAAGATCCTGTTTCAAGCAAGGGAAACACAGGATGTAGCCCTTTATCTGTCAACCTTCTACCAAAGTATTCAAAGCAATTTATGACAGAAATAAAATAAACACATTAAAATGGGAAATTAAATATAATACATAATTGCCACCTTTGACATTGACCTTGATTTTTCTTACAAGATTTCTCTCTCTCTCTTAACTTTTACATTTTCCAAATACAGTTTTCCAATATATTTTTTGGACGTGAAAATAAGCCAGATGCTTCATGCAAACAGTGTGCTAGTACATGCAGCTTGATTGCTCCCTCTCGACAGCAGGAGCAGCTAAACAAGTCATGGATACCCTGATCCTGTTTGTTTTGTGTGGTATCTGAATTTGGAACTCTCTCCTAACTTGTGTCTCTCCCAGCAGGCCAGAGTTCTAAGCTTAAAGCTGGGTTATGACTCTGATTTTTTTGTGGAGAAAACACAGGTCAGACTTCCTGGTTCAAAAGTTGCATTGAACGAGGGGTGCCATACCTGCACTCCATAACTGCACTCCACTGGGCCCACTGTGGGCCAGATTGTGTCAAAGGGTGTGGCCACTCCGACTGATGTCATCACCCTAACAGCTTACTGCCTCACACAGTGCTGGAGGGAGATTCAGTTGGAGTTGGCAGGATCAGCTTCTCCTCGGACTTTGCACAGTGTGTACCGACCCTATTAGGGACTCCACAGAAGGATTTTCCAGGAGTTCCCAAAATCCGCTCCCAAAGACTGGAAAATCACCCAGAGAGTTTTTGGGTTGTATGGAATGCTACAGTTGTTGTACGAACAGATCTGATTAACACTTTTTAAAATTGTGCTTTTAAAATTGTGCTGTGGATATAGAAAGACATTTTTTTAACATGAGTCCGCCGGTGGTGTTTGAACTGATACAGCCCAAGCAATTACATCTCACCCGAATGGGAATGAGGTCTTTGGCTTCCTATTCAAGTTCAAACTTCTGTGGAGTGTTCTGTACATTGTCTAAATAGTCATACTGGAATTGTGATCATATAGGGCCACCGGAAGAGATGAACCAAGCAGAAGTTACAACTCAGTGCCCTGCAGACTACAACTCCCACAATCCCTGACCATTAGCCATGCTGGCTGGGTTGTATTCCACAGGCGGATTACCCCTTGGCAAAGGGAACTGAACAAGAGATAGAGGTTGAGAGACACAGAAGGCCATGCGTCGAAATGAATTTAAGGTAAAGGATATAGAAAATTTCTTGTACCTTAGAATGTAAGATATTTTTAAGGTAGAGCATATAGAAGAATGGCTCTGGGAAAGTCCTTTACCACTGGCATCTTACTGCATGATAACAGCATCTGTGAAATGTGCTCTAGCAGTTATGATCATTGTAGATGACTGTTGACCATACATTCTCTATGCTCCGAATATCTAACTGCTCAAAGGGTTCTTGATGTTTCTGTGAGGTCCTCCCATTCGAAAGAAATGAATTAGATATACAGAACATACTTTGCACCAAGGCCACAGATAATTCCTATAAATTGGATCTAAGTCAGCAAAGCTCTGAAAAACGCCATCATTTATGGTCTTTGACAGCTGCTGGTGGTCAGTGTAGACAATACGTGGTCTTTGATGTACTAATGGTGTAACTCAATAGAAGGCGGAGTGGCAAGCGGGCCAGACGCTCACTCTTCACTGAAGTTCCAGGGTCCTGAGTCACTGGATTCTGAAGAACACTCATAGGAGGCAGGGGTGGGAGGGCAAGAGGATCAAAGCAGGGCAGGGACCTCTGAAACTCCATCAGGGTCACTGCTCAGGGTCACTGGACTGACTGTGAAAGCAGGCCTGCTTTGGAAGAAAAGGGAGGGGGTGCAGAAGAGGAGCGAGCCCATCTGCCTTATCTTGTCCCTGATCCCATGATGAAGTACTGAGAGGTGAGCAACCCAGTTAGAGGGCTTGCTTAGCTCTTGTAGGTTGGCTTTGGGGATGGGGCACATTGAGGGTAGAGTCACAGCCTGACTAAAGTGGTAGAACTGGGGAGATGTGCCAGTTTGAATTCAACTCTTTACATGAGCAAAGGCTTATCATTCAGCTTACTAGAGTTACATTGTCTTGTTAGCTGTGAGGTGTCAGTAAAGATTTGCCCTGCAAAGGATTGTTTGGTGTTTTATAGTCTGAAGGCAAGGGAGGAAGTGTCAGGCTCAAAACCAACAGCTTCATGTCTGTACAAATGGAAAATTTCTAACTGACATACAAAAACTTGGATAAAAATTCAGAAACTTGAATCATACCTAAGACACGCCTGTCCATGATGTACTGGTTCCAAAGAAACACAAGCAAAACTAAGATAGTACCATTAACCAAGCACTTTTGCAAGTGCTACTGGAAGAGTTTGCATTTTTATTCATTTATTTTACCTATTTTGGCTATTTATATTCCACTCTTCAACAAATTTTCGGGGCTTACAAAATCAGAAAATGCAATAGGCAAATTCCACTCCAGTTCACAGGACTCTGCAAAAGTGGTACCATATACTTAAGATTTATATTCATTTTTCTCATGTAACACAAGTACAGCAATAGCCCTTTCATAAGCAGGAAAATATGGAAAGTCACCTCCTGATTCAACCTAATATCAGCCTGCAAATATGTATTTTAGCTCCAAGTTTTCAAGCTCCCACAGAGATTGTTAGGGGTGCATATTCTTTGGTTTCTACTACTGCTAGCCAACCAGGCTTTCTACTGATGAATGCTACCTTATAAATTACTGTAATTGTGCAAAACTATTTCCCTAGCTCATTTGCGGGCTTTTCAAGTGAATCTTTCTACACGTTTTTCTGAGATCACATGATCCTTGGTTATTTTATATTTCAGATGCAATAAGACACATAGATTTCCTGTTAATTAGTCTTCTTGCTCACTTAATTAGTTCATCTATTAAATGCTAATGAAGAATGAAAGATTCACTGCACCCCTTTTACACAAATATGTTACCTAGATTAAATCCACCCACAATGTCTGGATGGCAGACTTCTGTCAGTTAGTGGAAAGGATGCCAAGAAAAGTAAGCTAAAGAATATGCCTGGCATTCATGCCAGTAAAATTCAGCAGCCTGTGATAAATATTTAATCATCTAAGGTATTCAAAAGACTGTTCTGTCAAGCAAGGAATAAAAAACTATAGCCAGAAATAAATGGAAGAAGCAACATGGATGAACGTGTGTTCAAGAGCTTCAATTAATGTAACTTGGTAACTGGCTGGCACAGAAGCCCATCAATACGAAAGACTAGAACTTCTGTCTAACTTCTATAATGGTACTTTAAAAGTTTGAGTGAAGCAGCTGCAAAATCCAATGAAGTTTCCCCACCAGTCATTTCTATCATCAGAAATGAGAAAAGGTGGTATCCCTGGTAGATCCTTGAAATCTGCTGCAAAGGAATTGGGGACCCTTCAGAGCAGATTTGAGAAGGGGGACAGGAGTATAGATGGAAGAAGAGAGAGGAGAAATTCTCATTGCATGAGCATACTTCTGTCCTTGGACCAGACCTAGCACAGAACAGAACTGGAAAGCATGCACACATGCAGCCCCAAGTCTAATCCAACATATATCCCCTTGGTGGAACCACACACTACCACAGCTTACAGCTCTTTGCAGACCCATCTTTCACCAAGTTGAATAATCCTCTTGCAAGGCCAATTAATATGTAAAAACTATGCAGGAACACAAGAAATTGCCTTGCACAGAGTAGGACCACAAGTCCATCTCAACACTGCAAAGAAGCAGTGGCTCTGCAGGGTTTCAGGTGCTTTTTCCAGCCCTACCTGCAGATATCTGGGATCAAACCTGGGACCTTTGACATGCCAAGCAGTCACCTGTTCATTCCATTTCTAGACCACCCAATAGCCAGAGCTCTCTGCATGGTTCACAAGACTTACAACCCACAATAAAGTTAATAAAGAAATATAAAAATCTTTAACACAAAATTTTACAACTATTTTGAAATAGCTAAAACAAGTGTTATTATACACCACTTGGCCCACTGAGCCATATCCTGTAATTACAACAATCATTTTGAAGTTATACAGCTGTTTAAATAAAATGTAGCATATCTGAATTCTAAGCACAAATTCAGATATAGTGCTAGGTTTCAGACAAAATACACCTTTCTTCAGCAACATAACTAAAGATAGGATCCAACACGTTGACAAATATCATTTGTCAACAATTTTAATCAAGGTTTTTTATCATGGCTTGCTGATTTTAATCAAGGGCTTATGTTTGTTTGTTTTAATCAGTGATATGGATCAAAGTTATTTAAAATCAAATCCCCTTGCTTTCTCATTTAGATAAGATACACTTTCCAAACTAAACAGAAGAAAAGAAGCTATAAGAACACAAGGTCAAAAAAAGAAAGTTAACAGTTAAATTGAAAGCATTCTTTAAAAAAACAACAACAAATAACTTTGTGCAAGCTACTTGCAGGAACACAGGAAGAAATGTGAAATAAAGTGGACAAATATTTGGACAATGCGATAATAGGACAGTTATCCATTTAGCAATGTATTTATCAAGGCTGAATATTAAATTTT